AAAGGTTCTCAGCAACATTCAGCTGACAGTGATCACTAAGGCAACAGAAAGAAGTAGCCAACATTTGACAAGTCAGCTCTTCTCGCGTGACATCAGAGACAATAGGGCTACTTCCATCCCAAGAGAATATGGAGTATAGGTTGTTCGTCTGTCACGCGTGCGTGGCACCCTGTCCATTAGGGCCCTGTCGCTTTCTCCCTGCCATTTTCTGCTGTGTGTGTGTGTGTGTGTGTGTGTGAGCGTTTGAGACAAAGTCTTGTACTGTCGTTTGAGACAGAGTCTTGTACTGTCATCCAGGATGGAGTGCAGTAGGGCAATCTTGGCTCACTGCAACCTCCGCCTCCCAGATTCAAGCAATTCTTGTGCCTCAGCCTCCCAAGTAGCTGAGACTACAGGCGTGTGCCTCCCGGGTTTACGCCATTCTCCTGCCTCAGCCTCCCGAGTAGCTGGGACTACAGGCGCCCGCCACCTCGCCCGGCTAGTTTTTTTGTATTGTTTAGTAGAGACGGGGTTTCACTGTGTTCGCCAGGATGGTCTCGATCTCCTGACCTCGTGATCCTCCCGCCTCTGCCTCCCAAAGTGCTGGGATTACAGGTATGAGCCACCGCGCCCAGCCATGTTTTGGCATTTACCCCCTACCAGGTGCTGTAGCAGCCACACACTGACCATTCCTGGAAGGTGACACATGCTCATTTTGGTGACACCCTCAACTCCAAAATGCCTGGCTCTGTTTACCAATATCTTTTTTGTTTTTAGATGGAGTCTTGCTCTGTCATACAGGCTGGAGTGCAGTGGCACCATTTCAGCTCACTGCAACCTCTGCCTCCTGGGTTCAAATGATTGTCCTGCCTCAGCCTCCTGAGTAGCTGGGATTATAAATGCCCGCCACCGCGCCTGGCTAATTTTTGCATTTTTAGTAGAGACAGGGTTTCACCATGTTGGCCAGGCTGGTCTCGAACTCCTGACCTCAAGTGACCCTCCCACCTCAGCCTCCCAAAGTGCTGGGATTACAGGCATGAGCCACCTTGCTGTGCCCCAATATCCTTTATGCACCTTCCTGCAGTCCCTGGATGAGCCCCTCCCTCCCTGTGCTCCTCCCCTCCTCGTCACCCTCTCGCCTCCGCTCTGCCTCCCTGTGTACCAAAACCCCGCAGACTGGGTGACTTGAAACAACAGATATCTCACATTCTTAGGGGCCAGAAATTGGAAGTCAAGGTGTCAGCTGGGCTGAGCTCCCTCGGGAACCTGCCAGGAGTCTTCCCAGCCTCTTCCAGCTTCTGTCAGGCTGCCGGCAGTCCCTTTCTGTAGAAGGGCACGTGCCATGTTGGACCAGAGCCCACCCTGTGACCTCATCTGAAAAGACCTTTTTTCCAAATAAGGTCACATGCCCAGGCGCTGGGAGGAGGAATTTAGCATACCCTCTGGCGGGACACAATTCAACCCGTCCTATGCCCTGTAATCCACTGGCAGGATAAAGCACTGGCCCGAGTCTGTCCCTTCTCTGCTCAAAGTTCTTCCAGGACAATGGAATATCATTCGGCAATGAAAAGGAATAACAGGCTGGGCGTGGTGACTCACGCCTTTAATCCCAGCTCTTTGAGAGGCTGAGGCTTGAGCCCAGGAGATCGAGACCAGCCTGGACAACATAGTAAGACCCAATCTCTACAAAAGATACAAAAATTAGCTGGGCGTG